GGCAGGGTGAGTCAGAGAGCAAGGACTGGGTGGGCATGGGCAAAGCACTGCTCCTCACCAGACACACATCCAAGGAGAGGCAGATAGGATTGCTTTTGCATCGCTGGCGATAAACCCCCCAGCGTGCCGGCCATGGGGATATCCAGGTGAGCACGAGCAGGATGGCACAGGCAAACCCTCACTGTGACAGCCGTGCACGCAGCTGCTAACAGCATCCCCTGGGAGCGGGTCTGGTGACGATGCCCAAGTCCTAGATTGTGACACGCTCTCATTAGCTGGCAGAGCTCCTTCTTGTTTAACAGGAGATGTTTTCCTGTCCTCCTGACCCCAAACAACACCGTCATCTACAAATGCTGACTTTCTCTAATTACACCTTGACAGAGAGAGGCAAACCTCTCCTCTCCGTCCAAGGACCGTCATTTAATTAATAGGCAGGTATCTCTCAGGATTTACAGCCTGGCTCTAAGCTGCTACTCTCCCTACTCAGTAACTCAGGCCTATGAAGGCTCACTCCATTTATCTCTGCATTTCGGTAACAGCATTTCTGCTAATCCCTCTCTGTGCCAGCTTTCTGGGTTCACCTCTCATGGAGCCATGGAGAGAGCAGTTAATCAAATGAACAGTCCTCATCTCACTTTTCACTCACTTCCAGGTCACTGATCTCAAATGTCTGTGTTGTAGATGGCTTCACAGCAGAGCAATACCTATGCTGGCACCACTACCAGTTTCTAGTTTAATCCAACTCTCATATCTGTCCTACAGACATGACCAGAGATAGCACACATGGAAGTGAGAGAGATTCTGTGAGATTCTGTGAGATTAGAATCAAGGACATTGGGGCTGGCTGGATATCAAGAAGCATTTAGTCTGTTTCTCCTTCACAAACTGGGACCATCTCTCCGCAACCTGTTCTTGACATATGCTTTCTAACAGGTTCTTAAAAAGAAAAACAGTATTGGAGACTCCCACAGCACACAAGCAAGCATTCTCAGTGCTTCCTTCCCTCCTGCTACACGTCTGAGAGCAAGAGGGAGAACAACGTTGAAAGACCATCTTGCCCAGATGGACGTAGCTTCTGGTACTTGGGGCCACACCATCTGTCCTGCTGGTCATGAGGAGCAGATTCATTTTACTTTGGTTGTGATTTTGTTTCTGTGATAGGAGAAGGGGTAGCAAATGGTGTCTATCCCTTACAACTGTTTTTGTGGAGCATGCTAGGATCTAGCAAAGTCCAAGGAAGATGAGAATATTACTGATTGTGAGCAGCTGAGGGATAAATCCAGGACCCCTGGATTTGGATCCATGCATCAACAGTCTCTGAGTTAACAGCCATATTCTGCGAGCTCAACTTGGAGATGATCTGACTGTCTCAGATGAAGTAACAGCTCAAGTGAAAATAAAAACCAAATGATCTGTGCTTAGGGAGCTGTACGTGCAAGCGAGCACTCGTGCCTTCATCTTTGACTCCATGTTGGAAAGACCAGTGCTGCCGTGGGATTGTCCATGCAAATTGCCACAGATCTCTCTGTCTTGGCAAGTCACTGCCTCAGTCACTTAATCACCTGGTAGAGAGGGGATCACACAGACCAGCTGGGCAGCTGCTGACTAGGCGTGCGTTCCCTTTCTGACTACAGGTAGGATCTCTGCAGATTTGGTATTTTTTCCAGCTTTGAGACTCTACAGTGCCAGAAGTGTCCTGCTGAGCACCTCCAGTGACACGGTGTGTAAACTGGCCTCCTGGACTCATGTCACTGGCTACTCAATGAACATGAGCCATCTAAAGATAAGCGAAGTGGGAACTGGCAGGAACTACGGAGGAGCTCTGTTTCAGCACATCTGCTCTTTAGCAAATATCTTGTCTTCCAAACCTCTGCTCCTCTGCCAGCAAAAGCAAAACTTGGGGACAAACTGGGGGAAGGAGCAATTGGAATTCATACAATTAGTGCAGGACCTTCAGTATAACGTTCTGCTAGCTAAGGCTGCCCGGCCTGTTACCAAACAATGCACAGACATGTGTGATACGATAGCTGATTCAAAAAAATGTGGTAGAACTGAGCACACTTAATGTACTGCTCTTTCCCCATCACTGAACATTTCAAGTTCCTAAATCCTTCCTACGCACCCACAGGCTGCAAAGCAAAAGGGGAAAAGGGCTGGACTGCAGAGGAGGAGACACCGAAATACACAGACAGCACCCTGGTATTTCAAGATCCATTGTCACTGCAAATTATCCACGAGAGGTTTTATCCTGAACTTGCAGAAGTGGAACTAAAGCCCAGGGAGGAGTAACAAGAGGCTTCAGGCCATGCTGGCAGTCAGGAGCAGAACTCTGATTCTCCAGAGCCAGCTTTGCCCGGCTGTGATCAAAGACCCTGTGCGAGGCTGCAAGGTTTGGGAGAAGGATAAAGAGAGGGAGAATAGCTGTTCCACAGTTAGGAGCTCACTGCGAGACTTCTAGGGAGCTAGCTTTGTGGCATCCATCACAGTCTAGCAAAGCTATAATGAATGAGGAATTAAACCCAGTCACAGAGCTCCCTTTGATCAGCCTCTTCTGCTGGTCTGACCTGACCTGGCCTCTCCATGGGACAGCCCAGCTTTTTGTCGAGTGCCCCTGGAATCAGCAGTGCTGGAGAGAAGTCACTCAGAGGAGAGACCTGACCACATCAACAGCCAGGGAGTCACGGCTCTCTGTGAAGACCTCTCATTTGGTACAACCTGGGCAGAGAAAGAAGAGGAGGAGGAGGTGGGAAGGAGAGTGAATGGCAGATCTCAGCTAGCCCTGCTCAGAACTCCCTTGCCCTCCAGTGCAGATTCAGGAGCAGCAGCAGCTGGGATTGCAAAGGGTATTGATGCACAACACAAGCAAGTTTTACACCAGAGCATGGCAGGAGCAGAGGGCTGGCTGCATGCACATATGAGCTGTTCTAGGGCAATGTATATAGAGGCTCACATGGTCCAGAATATCATCTCTCTCTCCTGGCTGAGCATGAGTGGGCTGCCTGGCAGCACAAGCCGACATGCTGCACACAGCACAAGTGGAGCCATCTCTGGGTAGTTTGTGAGGTGCTGGGCAAGAGAAGCCACATACAGACGTGAACTCACTGCATCTATAAAGCTTCCCAATTGCTTTTGAGTTTGTGGGAAAGCCAACGTACTTGGCACATTAGGACAGCCAGTTGTGCAGGGAGGACTGCCAGACAAGGGGCTGCCCCAAGGCACGACTCTAAATTGTTCCGGGGAATGGGATGGCCACTTGCTCTCTGGCTGGAAAAAATCAAAGTTCCCAGCTTAGGGCATTAAGCTTAATGGTGACACCAGTTGAGATGCAAAGGGTGGTTTTCTTCCCCCCTGGGAAGGTGGATAGAGAGCCAGACCCTTAAAAAAATTAGTAAGAAAGAAACAAAAAACCTCGAATCTGAATCTGTCTGCCCAGTTGCCCTTCAGTTCATGGCTGGTGTGGTTTGTTCTCAGCCATGTGGGAGGATTTAGCTCCTATTGACAGACAAGCTAATCAGTTCCCCTCAGCTCTTGAAGCTTTATCAAAGCCAGTTAATCATGTTACTGACGTCTGCCCAGGCCAGGACTCTCCACTTCTACCTCCTGCCAACAAGGTGACACATATGCACACCAAACACACAGGGATAATTTTTTTCCACTCTCAATTCCACCAGCAAGAGGATGTCACCAGTGGCTACTGTGTCAAAATGTGGGTGCTGCCCATCTCTCTTTCATACCCTTTGCCATCCTTTGTTCCTGGAGAGATGTGGTAGCTCCACCAGCATCTCATGAAGGAGCAGGATGATCTCTACAAGCCACACTCACATCTCATTGTCAGCACAGTGGTGGCAACAGTGGGAGAAATTGGCCTGGGCTTCGGCAGGCCCAAGTCCTGTGCTGGAAGGACGCTGAAGCCAAGAGACTTGGATGGATGTGCGGTCCAGACCTCTGTCCCTACCACTGGTTTTGATTTACTTCCGTATCCTAATATCACCAACTGCTGCTCTGTGATATAATCTGTCCTGCTCCTCCTGAGGGCTGAACTGGGGGCTGTGCTCTACCCACACAAACACGTATCCACCAAGTCAGGAGGATTGCCTCGTCCTGCCGAGTTTCTAGGAGGCTCCTTCTGCCGTTATACCAATGACGGAAGGACCCAGAGATGACAAGCTGTCTGGGACCCTCTTTGCTTCCTGGTAGGGTCACTAGAACTGACATTATCTGGTGGCCTGTGCTCGGGTGGACACTGCTCAGGAGCATGTTTGGGGGTGGCTAGTGATCACTGGACCATTTCGGTAACCACTGTTCTTTCAATGATCTGCCTGGTGAGTGCCTCTGCCCATAGGTATGATCAGCTATGTCCCCCCATCCTGCAGACCTGCACTGGGCCTACAGCTCGAGTTCTCAGGGAGATCCCGTTGGGGCCAGGCTGCCAGCACCTGCTCTGCTGTATGGGCTTGCTCAGTGCGGCACAGCTTCATCCTCAGAGCTGCTCTGTACCAGCACCTTGGAAGGACCCCAGGCTGGGTCATGACCATGGCACTTGCAGCTCCAGGGTGGGCCAAAGAAAGGGCAGCGACTCCTACGCAGCAAAGAGACTGGGCTGGAGAGCCAAGGAGTTACATATGGAGAGACCCTGCTGTACCCAACCATGGGGCAGTCCCTAAATTAGCTATTCCAGAAAGGAAAGAGTTTCTCAAAAGCCTTACACTCTGCAGTCTCCCCGACACCTCCCCATCCTCTTTGTGCTCTGAAGAGATATTTTTTTCTCTCTGGGGTTGCTGCAGGTCTCTCTGCCAGCCCAGCCAGGGAGACCCTCTGGGGTTGCCCAGATGAGCAGGGAGGACTGTAAAAAAGGTGCTATGAAAGCAAAGAGGAGGAAAAGCCAGGGAGGCTCAATCTGAGCTGAGCTGTTCCAGCCGGCTCTCCACGCCGTCTCCCACTCCTCTCTGCAGGTGAGCGGGTGGGTGACCTCAGCCGTGCCATGAGATACGATCACCCACCTATACAGACAATGTCCATGAAGCCGTACATTCCATAGCAGATCTGGAAGAGCAGGTCCTGGCGCTGCCATTTGGCCGAAGGACTGAAGGTCGACCAGATGAGCCACGAGATACTGGCGATGAGGAAGAGGGAACCCAGGATGGCTGCTGCTATCTGAACCTTCTCAATGACTGTCAGCGAGATGGCCTGCCACTGCAAGGGGAGGCAACAGGTAGAGGAGAGGGGACAAGAGGGAGGGAGGAAGGAAAAAGAGTAAAGGTTAGTTACTTGAGGCACATTGCTGTTTTACATCACTGTTCTCAAAGAGCATAGGTGCTTTTACCTGGTCCGTATCTAGGGTGGAGCATGGCACTTTTTCAACAGTGCATGGCCCCATGTTTCCTGACAGCATTGCTGGAAAGGCAATGAGGAGGAATCCTGCACCAGGAAAGCACAGAGACCTGAGGGAGGCAGGATGGACTCGGGGCAAGACATCAAAAATAACATCCCCGGGACAGCAGGTCTGTGATGGCCATCACAAACCAGGGCATTTGGTTTGTACCTCACATAGAGGCCAGGCAGTATCCTTGGCCAGGGCATCCTATTACCATGAGAAGAGGTGTCTCAGAGAGCTAGGCTTTCCTTCGGAGGCCTCCCATGAGCTGGCTCTGTGCCACTTCTTGAGACCTGACAGGAACATAACACTAGGTAGGACCTCGCAGCAGCGATGCACATCCCACAAAACTTGTTACAAACAACACAAGTTGCTGTGGTCAGGAAGCTTTGCCTTTAGGTGATGACACGTTCAGGCTGTGTTCCAAGGTAAACATCAATGCTTCTTCCTCAGAAGAAGAAAAAATTAGAAAAAACTCCCCCAAATTCATTCACTATGTCAAATAGTGTTGTGTAAGCTATGGTATAAATATCCTAAGCCTGGACTCCTCTCTGTCATCTAGCATAAAACCTCCCTACTCAGATTTACTCTGCTGAGAGAACTGCCCTGTAAAAACCAAAAGCAGAATTTGCTTTCTTTCACAAGACTTGGGGACATGGTCTGTAACCCCTCCCACAAATCAGAAATCAAATGCATAAACAGGCTGGGGAGAGACAGTCTCTCCTGGCATCGAAGTATATAGGCCACCTTTAGCTGTGAGATACATGTCCTTGAAATCTCAGTGGGACTGGCAAAAGGATAAATAAAGGTGGACTTCCACCTCCTGCAGGTACAGAGGATTCAGAGGAACTGAAAATGTTTAGCAAGGATTCAGACCAAATTCAGCATCCCTGTGAAGTGGCACCTCTGGTGAGCCCTCAGCACCCCACACATTTGTCACACATATCCTGGGACAGCAGGGTCACCCACCAAGCCTTGTCCCACTCTTTTTCAGAGCAAGAACAGAGTTCAATAGCTGGGTCCCTTTTTAACATCCAGGCCAGCAAGGAGTTACCAGTTTTTTATTGGGAGGTAGGGAGGACTTTGAACCCTGACTGAAGGGTGACTTGTGCTGGTACAGGCACGCATGGCATCGCTACCAGTCCAGTGACCAAATCCCTGAGCTGAATGCCCTCCCCTGCAAAGGGCTGCCTTTGGCAAGGAACAGCCGAGCACTTCAGCTGCAGCTGAGGTCTGCGGGTTGCAACTGGAAGGAGTTTGCCTGGCTTGGCTCCAAGGTGAGCTAAAGTGCCTGCCTCTGCCAGCCTTGCTCCTTGGCTTGCACCCTGCAAGGGCAGACAGCCTTCAAATTATATGTCAGGGATATGCCGCATCAGTGAGGTGGGTGGTACCAGCTTATTTCACAGTTGGCCACAGAGTAGATGGCCATAAAGCCGCTGAGCAGAGAGAGCTTGTTCCCTGCTGACGTGGGACTGGGCTCAGCTAAGCACAATCCCCTTCCTGGGCCCAGCTAACCCCAGTCCCCTTCCTGCCATCAGCTCCAGCAGCTGGCCCAGCCAAAGGCAAACACTGAGCACTGCAAACACTTCAACAGCCTGTTCCCACTCTGCCATAGCCCAACGGGCTTCATGGTTTCACCAAATCCAGCCACACAAGCAGCCCTTTTGTGCCATGAAGACGCTGAGGTAGTGAACAGCCCTCCTCTTAGGTTGGAAGCCTCGAGGTGCCAGTCGCAATGGGTGAAGGCTGGATGCAGGGGAGCTGGAGTCCACAGGGGATGCACAGCTGTGCAACTCCTCTCCTGACACAGAACTATAGAATCATCTACGTTGGAAAAGACCTTTAAGATCGTTGCGTCCAACCATTAACCAAGTGGTATCAGGTCCACCACTAAACTTTGTCCCTAAGCACCTCACCTCTGTGCCTTTTTAATACCTCCAGAGATGGTGACTCCACCAATTCCTTGGGCAGCCTGTGTCAATGCTCGACAATCCTTCCAGTGAAGAAATTTTTCCTAATATCCAATATAGCATCATGAGACAGAGCAAAGGCCACCCAGCACCCATTGCCCTCAAATCTGGGTTCTGAGGGGTGGGATCTGCAGCTATGCTGCCCTCCCATCAGCATTTCAGCTTTGTTCTCAACAGCACCCTAAGCAGACGCAGGACAAATCCTCAACTGGTGCCATCAGCTCAGAGCTCCAGGACTAGAGCCATGTGGCAGAGAGGGCATTTGGGTATGTGCACTTTTACCACTGCAGCTTTCCTCAGACCTCATCTCCCTTTCCACTAACTCTGGCAAATGCAGAGGGGACAGGAACACCGGGAGCCCAGTGCACAGCTTTGTGCTGTGCCTGAAGGTTTTACTGCAGGTCCCTCACGCTGACCCGTGTGCACCTGTGCCAGCCAATTCATTCTGCATCATTTCTTTCTCTTGAGGAGCTAATGGACTGGCTCGTCACCATCTGGCTGGCACACTGCAAGGCCCGTGGTGGCGACAGGTCCTTCCAAGGTAGCAATTAAAGGCAGAAAAATTGTTTTCTACAATTAGCAGCCACGTACAACCAGTGCCACAGCTTTGCAGAGGCAGAGAGGCTTAAGCGTCATACTAAATATACTGTCAAAGGGGCTGAGGCTCAGAGCACTGAGAAGTTACAGGTGAGAACAAACTTCAAACCCTGTTCCCTTCGGTTGGGACCAGAGAGGCTGAAACCCAGGCAGGGATGCTGCCGACACTGCTCAGCTGGCAGCAGCTGCTGGGAAGTTCGCTGCGGAGATAATGAGGAGGCTGGAGTCTGTCAGCCATGCCAGGGGGTAGGAGACTCTCCCCCAGTATCTGGCACTAAGTGACAGTGACACACACAGCAGCAGTCCTGACTCTGTTCAGGAGGTGGCACTGGGGTGTGATTACCCTCTGGCAAGGAGGTAAATGGGTCATAGCTGAACACTGGGGAAAATAACCAGCTTGCAGAGGAATGTAATGTTTTCCAGGGGAAAAAAAGTAAGTAATAAATGTTGTATTTCCTCTCTAGCAACCCTGAGAACTGCAGTTTAGCATCTCACATCTAGTCTGAGCCACCAATAATCAAAGTCGTTATTTTTCATCTTTTAATTCCATTTTGCTACACATCTGAGGGTATGAGGTTTACACAGAGAGAAAATAAAGAACGGGACAGAGGTTAAAGCATGTTACCCAGTGAAAGCATGGACAGAAGGGTTCAAGAGCTGTTTAGAGATGGAACGTGCTGATGAATTTCAGCTGCAGCAGCTCGGCCTGATGCATCACTGCACCAGTGCACCTTGCACTTGGGAGCCCATCTCAATCACAGCACTGTGCCTTTCACATTTCATAACAGCCCTCAGAAAATCACCCGTTTTCCTAACCCCCCTCCACCTTCATTATGGCCAACAGACCAGGGATTTGGTGGGTGACCTTATTGTCCTTGGGTCACCGCTACTGCTGCAAAGAAAGGTCTCAGCAATGCTGCAGAGGCCCTTTATCGGCACATCTGAAACCCCCAAAGCTCTTTGTCTGAATGCCTGGCTGCAGACACAGCCCCCTCCCTCCACATCTCCAGCTCAAACATTCTTGTTCTACCAAGGTCACAGTGTCAAGCAATCCCACCTTGAGGGGAGAGACCTAAAACCCAGTTCTTCTTTCCTCAGCTGATAATGAGTGTTGAGTCCCAGGTAGCCGCTGAGCTGTACTGAAGTGCACCTTTAACAACCAGCAGCTTCCCTGAGGTTGTCAATCAGGAATGTGACCTTTAGCCAGGTAGAAAGCTCTACAGATCCTCTGCCAGCACTGAAACAGGGCAGAACTAAGAACTTGGTCATACCAGAAAGCTTTAAAGGCTTCTGCAGGATAACAGGAGCAGCTTTGTGAGCTCTGGGCTTACAATGGCTTCAGAGCATGCCCAAGCAGCTCTCCGCAGTGGCTTGCCACCCGCACTAGAAAAAGGTCTCTGTCTCTCCAGATCATTCTGAAAAAATGTCCTCATTCACTCAGGAACTGTCGGTCTGTCTTCTGCTACCATCTCCCTTGGCCAAGTGCTTTGGCACACCAACCAGATGGGTACATGCAAAACATCACACTCTCTTGAACTCATTTTCCCCAAGTTTTCCCATCTTCCCCAAATCACAAAGCTCTGCCACCCATATGTCTCAGAAAGGGTTTCTTAGGAGCTCAGGTCTGACACCTGTGATGACCTTACCCAGGCCCAGCTGGGACTGGTGCCTACCAGTCACGTCACTCGAGTTCTCTTGCACTGTTTCGTAAGCTACGTGTTATACTTGGGACAAACCTGTTTCACTGTTTGCTTCAGTGCTTCCGCTCAGAGGCTTGTGTGTGGAAACTCCCACTGCTAATGTAACGCAGATTAATAATGTCATTACTATAGTATTTAAGGCCTGATATGTATCTTCCTTTCTCTGGCACCAGAAGTCTCCAAAGGTTCCAAAGCATCAGCATGAGCAGATCCAAGGCAGATATTTGCCTGCAGAAGTTATCTATGTCTTTCTTACTGCAGCAGCTTGCAAAGACAATTTGCTTGTTGGAAAAGCCTTCCTACTCTCCTCTGAGAGCTCCCCCATGCCTGCCTCAGGCAGTTCAGTTTATTTTTATTGCTATATCTGACACATCCCCTTAGTATGTATCATTAACATCCTCATCTGTGCTAGTCAGCAATTTAATTTTCAGACCCAGGACCACAAGCAAGCAGAGATTTTTCCTAGAAGGTTGGAGAAGATCATTCCCAGCCAGCACTGCTTTGGTCTGTCTGTCCCCTCACTGCTGTCCTGAGGCCCTGGCCATCCTCCTCAACTATCTCGTGGAGGATGGCTTTTCTTTTTAAAAATTCACCAAGCAAAGCTATGCCACAGCTAGGATAGCTTCCCTGATGTACATTTACAGATGCTGTGGCTTATTCAGATACTGCGACACAGCGGGGAGGAAGGAGGGTCTACTAGGGTCACGTAATGGAAATGTGCAGTGATGAGATCCCCTCTCCTCCATGTGCCACAGCATCAGGCCCAGGCTACAGCGTCAGTATCCTAGAAAAGCCCTGTTGTAAGGCACAGTCTGTGAAGTCTGTCTTGCTGCGATTGCACCCATTGCTTGCAGGCTGCAGCTGGACCTCAGCAGGGACCAGCCAAGGCTCATACCCCACACAAGTGATTCAACAAGTTGGGACAAGCAGGAGACACCACTGAATTTGCCTCAAGTATTTTAGCTCAGGAGCTCAGGCTGATGTTCAAACACTCTGGGACCTTGGCCACTTTTCTTGCAAATGTGGGTGTCCTGCTGAAGAGGCCATGGAAACAAACACTGATCAGCTCTTAACAGAGCATCACCACAGTCAAAATAGAGCCAGAGGAGAACCCAACCCCAGCACTGGGTAACTGGCTATCTCCAGAGCTGAAACAACCCACAACACAGAAAAAACCAGAGATAACAACTATAAAGCAGAGTTAAATGCCCCAAGACTGCAGGCAGTTGTAGACCTAGGAAGATTGGTTCAAATAGATTTTCTATTTGGGAAAATCAAAGCATTATAGTAAACGTGTCTCAGAAATGGCTACGAATGAGCTGTATAGATGAAATCTGCTGCAGAGTCCCGTCATGGCAGATGTCTACCTCCACTATATCAGCACCAGTGTGCCTGCAGTACTATCATGTGCTTCTAAAACCCCGTGTCTTTGGGGCCTTTTTAAGACCATGGCCTTTGCACAAGTACTGCAGTGGAGAGGATCATTTAAAGTCCCTGTTCCTACGATTTCTGTCTCAGTGACTGGCAAACTGGAGAGCAAGAAGACGGACGGATGGACGGATGGATGGATGGATGGATGGACGGACGGATGGATGGACGGAGTTGTAAAAGCCCTGGATCTACTAGCTGCTCACAGCTGGTAGGATATTTTTGCTTATTTGCTGCCTGACTACTGCTTGGCAGGACACCTGCCATGTTGTTCAAGAACTTTGATCCCCCAGTCTCGTGGGCTTGCAGTGCTGCTGCTTTATGACTTTTGTTCTTTAATGCCTGCAATACAGGGATGGGGGACAGGGCATTAATTTACAGACATTCATTCTGTCAAAATACCAGAATAAAGGTTTCTTTCAGGTATGAGACATCATAACAGTCTGGAGGCTGGAACGAAGCTGTGTTACTTACACATGAACCATGTTCCCTCAGCTGTAACTTCTCTGCCACACCATGAGTCTCCACAGACATCTGGCCCATGCCATGCTCCTAGGCACTCCAAAAAATGTACAGCAGATGTCAAACTGGGCAGAAAAACATCCAGACCCCAGGGCACGTGTGAGTGTTAGGTGTGCTGCTCTGTTTGGACCAACTGGACATGCTTCAGGGAGCCCAGGGCCTGCCAGCTGCCCACGTTTGGCTTTCCCGTGGTGTGTCACATGAGAGGACACAAAGAAGTAGGTCACATTGCTGGCTAAAGTCTAGCCAGGCTCAGAGCATCAAGCAAACAAGTTTCATTTGACAAGGAGGTGAGGTTTGTGTGGTCCTTGCCTGTATTGTGGTTAGTCTGGAATAAACGCATGACCATGACATCCTGCAGCATTTGCCTTCCAAAACCTGTGATTGAGACTTTCAGAGCTTTTAGTAAGAATAAAGCTGGGCAGAAGTTCCAGCAGATCCTAAGAAGAAAGGCCAGGTACTGTTGCTTTACTCAGAGACATACTTGTATGTTCCTGTGGCCCTTGTTATCCACATGTGGGGTGAAGAGTGAGCAGAAAGGATGCTACTCCCACTTCCCACCTGCACATGCTGCGACATGTGGTTACAGCACATAATGTCAGGGCACAGCAGCCCCTGGGTCCTCTCTGCTCCCTTCTCCCAGCGTTGAAGAAGGAGAGCCACTGGGGAACAAGGTATCTGTGCTGATGGGCTGCATCCTCATGGGGAACTCCAGGCCTGGTACATCAGCCACTTCCCACGGGCTTGGGCACACTAGTGCTAGTGTGGCATCTGCTTCCCAGAAGCGCCTTTGTTCTGGCACCAGACAGGGCACACGAGCGCGCAGCTGTAACTCCACACATGCCGCACGTATTCCAGACCAAGTGGCTTCTCACTCCAGTTGCTTCTTTCCAACCTACAATTTCCCCAGTGCTTCTGTGAGAAGCACTGCGAAGTCTAAGCCAGAATGTGAAGCCTCCAAGCCCAGGGTCTGCGTGGTCCTGAGACCCTCACTCCCAGAGCTAGGTTCTCTAACTCACTTTATGTGTTTGCAGCAAAGGCCAGCAGGTCAGGCCTCTTTCTAACAGAGAGGCCCAGAAAGAGTAATGCTTTGCACAGGCATTTGAAATGTAGAAGGGGAGCTTGTCCGTCAACAGCTCAGAAAAATTTTAGCTGAGTAAGGAGCAGGAGGAAAGTCACTGAGCCATTTCCCTGAGCCACCTGAAGGTGTAGAGCATTTGAAGTTCATTCATTAAAGGCAGTACTGGCTACTCACACACTTAAAAATCTGCACCCACAAACCTTCAATGCTGCTCAGCATCCCAGCCCCGATCTGAGACACAGGAAGCATCAGGGCACTCATGGACCAGCTTTCCAGAAAAAAACAAATGCTGCTTTGTCCACATCCCTCCTCCTGTGTTTCAATCTGCTCTGAGTTACTAGAGCCAAGAAATAAAAACACCCTGTGTCTGGTGCTTGGGATGAAATTACTGATCTCTCCAGCCCACAGCACACTGAAAATTGAATCAGAAGCTGTAGGGACTCGCAGAGAGCAGGCAGTCTTTTGCCTTTCCCCCAGCAAAATTTCCCCATGATGCCCCACTAATTTCACTACTTCATTTAAGTCTGGAGACCTAAAGAGCTCTCCTGTTTCCTGAACGTGGTCAGTGACCTCAGGCTTGGAAAAAGACACACAGAGACTGCAGTTTGGAGTAGAGAGCAGGAATTTGCATTTCCCTTCGCTCCCATACAACTGGGCACGATCACTACCAAAGTCCCCAGCCTCCTGTTAGAGAGCAGAGCAATCAGGAGAGAGCCAAAGCCCTCCACATGATGCTGGACAGACCAACATCCTTACAGACATCACCCCAGTCTCCAAACCACAGCATGCTGCTGTAACGTCCCTCCAGTCCAGATGATGCTAATTAAGCAGTAGCACTTGCATGTAATGTGCTTTCTTATATCTGAGGGACTAATGGTGCTCAGCAAAGGCAGGCAGCAATTAGTCCATCTTCAGGTGTTGCCCCCACAATAAATCAACAGCTATTAAGGATAATTTAGCCCATTTTTTTAACAGACACACAGGTTTCCCCTTTCTGAATCTTGGTTTTAACTTACCAGCCTGCCATAGAGCCTATTAAACCACAGTGCTTTTGAACTTGGAAGAGAAAGAAGGTGGATCCTCTGATGCCTCTCAGAGTCACTTAAAACAAGATAAAGAAGGCCTCATCCCTGGAAACATTCAAGGTCAGGTTGGATGAAGCTCTGAGCAACCTGATCTAGTTAAAGATGTCCCTGCTCACTGCAGCAAGGTTGGAAGAGATGACTTTTAAAAGTCCCTTCCAACCCAAAGCATTCTATGGTTCTGCGATTCTAAGACGTGCCTTATGTGTTGTGTGCACATCTGCAAATGTCCGCTGAGAATCAGGCTTGGAGAGACCAGAGCATCGGCGCCAACACCCTCTGGGCCATGCCAGGATGTATTTGATCATGGGGGAGAAGTGCAAAGGGTGGCAGAATCTGAGACAAGAGCTGTAAGAGCCCTCCATTTGCTTCCTCCATCCCTCATGCCAACTCAGAGGAGACTCAGCAGGAGGACATCAGGGTTAACGGCACAACCATAGGCACGTGGAGTCTCAAGATACTGCTCTGTCACAGACTGTGTGCTCTGTTGTAGTGAATCCCATAACTGCTCCATCTGCCCTTGGGGCCGGTGGCATATCTGTGGTCTCCAGGGGACGAACACATCTGAAGGGCTGCAAGGTGTTACAGAACTAACAGTTACAGTGATTGCACTGACATTTTCCACAGGAGGCAAGAAAATGTAGGAATTGTCAAAGGACAGAAAGGCCAGACTCTTGAGGGATGTCCCCGTTATCACCAAGCAAAGCGTGGGGCCTCTTTGGATCAGCCCCTGACAGCTCTTTCTAAGTGTCTCAGACAAACGAATCACTGCGCGGGGAAGGAAAACCCACGCAGGTAAAAAGCCACTTGCTCCCAGAAACAAAAATAGAAATGAGAATAAATAGACTTTGAAATGTCTCTAGTACCTTTACCTGCAGAGGGTTCTTTGTGCTTATGGCAATGACGTGATACTTGTAGTAACACAGCTCACAGCTCCAGCAGCCTCTCTCGCTAATCCATTTGATCAGACACGGCTGGTGCGTGCACTTCACCGATCCGTCGCATCGACACGGGCTCAGCAACTCCCCCTGAGAAAGAGAGACACCATCAGCGAGGCTCCCCTCCTCCCACAGGCACCGCACAGCATGGCAGAAGCTTCATCGTCCACCCATTTGCTCTTTGTTCCTTTTTTGCCTTAGGTAATCCTGCTGCCTCCACCCGTTTCCCCTCTAATAGGTTTTGGCTGATGTGAACAGAGTTTGACAGGGATATAATGGTCTCAAGTACTTGCTCCTAGACCAAGAGGGATGAACCTGACTGCAGGTGGAAGGTGTGTGCTTTGGGTCCAGGTCTTTGTATTCCCAAAGCCCAGCAGGGAAAAGGTCTTCAAATTTCACCCCAAAGCATTGAACTACAGCTTGCTCCCTTATTTCTCGTGTAGCTTTAAACGGGGTATCCAGGAAAACCCAATATTATTCTGATCCATCTGCTATCATCTTGTTCACCATGGGACTAAATTCTTCTCTGCACACACACAAGCTCAGGAGCTCATTTTACAGTCATTTGCCAACACTTATTTAGGGAAGAACAGAGCCATTACATTTTACTCCCTACCTCTTAGTGCTTTAAAGCCACAGTATATAGACCCCAATAGTCTATTTAACTCTGCTCCAAGATATAAAAGCTTTTAAAGGCAGAGTGAGAAATATCTGTGGGAGGGGGAAGGCTGGCCTCATACTTTCAGTGTTGAGGAGAGGATATTTCCTCTTATACTCCTAGATCAGCCCCATTGTTAGCACTAATGGAGCACCAGGACAACAGACCCTAGCATCTGAGGCTGCTTGGCACAGTAAAAGACATCCACCCCCCACGCCTTGGGTTAGGAAATCAGATCCTGCTCTTGCTAACCCTGGTCGGAAACTGTCCTGGCTTTCAGGGTATCACATCAGGTCTCAGGACCTGATGAACTGAGGACCACTTCGGGCAAGAGTGATACTTTTTATTTTTAAATGAAACCTAATGCAAATATGTTAATCATTTCATTCGCTTCAACTGGGTGACCTAAAAATGTCATCTTCCATGAAATTTTAGCAAAACTGTAAATAACTGTTTACGTTACAAAACAAGGCTCAGCTCTGCCCGTCACTGGTTTTGATTACACCCTGGAAGGGAGGCAAAGGGAGAGGGGGAGCAAGGGGGGTTGTAGGATCTATGAACTATCTTCACCTGCAAAGCGGCACCAGGACAAGCCAGAAGAAAGGCAGCAGGGAAGGACTAGATGGGAGGAAGGTGTGTGTGGGAAGGAGCACTGATGTTTGGCATCCAAACTCCCCCTGTGAGGTGCAGTTTGAGGAGCTCAGGTTCAGCTGTGCAGGGTTGTGCACTTTGCTGAGACTGGGGTGGGAAAATGCCTGTGTGAAAAGGAAGCCCCATGAGCACGTACTGCCAGCCAGGAGGGATCAGGGCTTAGCACAGCTCCTCTGCTTCCCTGCTCACCAAACCTCTTCCGCACCGAAAGCTAGCCTGGTACGGGGGCCTCTGCTCTGGGCCTCTGTTCTGCCTCACCTCAGTCCCTCGTGCTTTATTTTCTCAGCAGCTTCACTCCTCAGCACCCAAGTGTGACCCCAGCACCCAAAGGTAAATGCAGAAACCTCCCAGCTCTATAGCGTCTCTGCCTTCCCCCTTTGTTGCGCTCCTGCAGGGCTCAGAATGGGGAGTGAGGGACCAATGAGCAGCTGGAGGCACCGGTGATGGTCAGGAACAAGGGGGAACAGAGCAGGAACTAAGAGCAACAACCTCCAGGTAAAGGCAGAGGAGAAACGCTGTAGGTGCAGCCTGGACTCATGTTGACTTCTTGGGCTCTGTAATAAATGAGTCTACGAAATCTGGGCTGGTCTCTTCAGAGCCAACAGATGTTCATAGACGTCTTACACTGCTGTGGGGATGCAGTCCCCCTCCCCTAACTGGGATGCTCCAACCCAGACAGTCCTGCCAGCTCAGGGCTCAACTGTGGAGATGAATCCTCCAGTTTCTCGATTTTTGCAAATACAGCAAAAACCCAATTTATCACATTTTCTTCAGCCATGTGAAATACTGTATCTTTGCACGTGGTGCACAGCTATTTTTGCATACTGTGAAGCCCAATTCAGTCCACAGCAGGCATTCGTAACACGCTGCCACATGCACACACACGCACACGCACTCCTGTACCAGCAGAAAAATAAACACCAGGGGCATATTAAAGGAATAAATCCTTTGTACGGGAAAGGAAAAGGAGTCTCATTGCTGGCTGTACAGCAAGCTCAGGAACAGTCCATCAGCTGTGATACATGCAAAGGACTTGCTGTGCAGAGACCTCTGCTAAAAGCTACACACATGCAAAAGCAAGCCCACTATGAGGTGCAGATCACAGCAATTTGAGATAGAAATTAAATCTCCACACTCATTTCTATACACACACAGAATCACACACAGAATCATCCAGGTTGGAAAAGACCCTTGGGATCATGTCCAACCATTAACCCTACTTACTAGTTCACCCCTAGACCATATTACACAACACCACATCCAAGCGATGCTTAAACATATCCAGGGATGGCGACTCAACCACCTCCCTGGGCAGCCTGTTCCAATATCCCACAATTCTTTCCGTGAAGAACTTCTTCCTAGTGTCTATAGGTTTGTAGAAGATGGTTCTACACAACATATTCTCCAGTGCTTCAAACAACAGCATTCCCACCAATTCCCTTTGGGAACTGCTCTGCAAAGACCCTCTGAAGGCTCTACTTTCCAACATGTTTTTGCGATTTTCCCTTGTTGAGTTACATCCCATCACTTGGACCAGCCTAAGCAGCATTTCTGTTTTGTCAGCAACTTGTGGAGAAATGTTCCCCGGCTGCACGCTTCGTCCTCAGCCTGCTCAGTACCATCTTGTTACCCTGAAACAACCTAATGGGCTTTGGACCAAGGGAATCTGCCTTTTTTTTTTTTTTTTTTTTATCCAACTCTAAATTAGGGCTCAGGTGAAAGATGGAAAACCAGAATTAACATAAAGGGAAGGGTGCTCTGGCATCAGCCATGATCCTCTCAATGTATGAATGAAATACTTTTCCTTACGTATTACTTTTCCCTACTTTTGAGAATAGTAATGTGTTAAGCAGTTTTATATAATATTCTTCTTTGTTTCTGGCTGTGGTGGGAGCTTGTCTCAGCAAGGGCAAGGCCTGGTTGACCTGGCTCCACCTTGAGGAAGATGATACTGCTGAGGATGAAACAGGAGCACGGGTCTGGTCCAGCTCTGTCCTCTCCTGAATTTCCAGTCTGTGCCCATTGCAATACGTCAAAGTGGTTAATGATTATCTGGGCCCTGCTATTTTAAGCCTACTGGGAGGAGTTCTGAGAAAGGATGGAAAAAATAATTATTGCTAGTGCGTACTTCTGATGCTCTGTACATCTGGGGAGAAAATAACGACGTCAGGAGCAGCGTCAGCCCTGTTGTGTGCTGGTGTCAGTGTTTCACCCGGCTGTTTTACCTGTCATTCATCAGCGCTGGGAGCCCATCCACACATCACGACCAAAGCCGCAGTTGCTCAGCCACCAGCAAGCAGTCATGGGATGTGTTTCTCAGGCCTGTTCTTTTAACTATAAATAAAATATAGCAAATGTGCCCACCCGGCCTCCTTTGAACACAGCAGGGCTGAGGACAGTGGTGTCATTAGAGAGGACGTGGTCCTCCTGGCTCTCAGTTCCAGCTGTGCTTCCCTATCTGCTGCCTAGGCTGCTCCTGCACACCAGCTCAGCTGGAAAGTCATGGGAGCAACATTGCGCTACCACAGCTGTTAAAACAAACATTCTGGAAACCAACGCAAGCGGTACAGCAAACTGGGATGGCTGATGGTGATCTTAACACTTGCAGTTTCTTCTCAGCTGTATGTTTTCCCTGCTCATGTGTACAAAGCAACATCTGTCATAGGCATCACCCACAGGACCAGTGCCCTAGACCAGAACTGGGCAGTGAGAAGAAGCGAAAGTTATCCACATCACAAGGGCTACCATCTCTCTCTCCGGGTATGCACAGGCAGCTGCCACTGCTCATAGGAGCAACTGCAAGCACAGATCTGACTTCTAGCATTTATCTGAGTTTGTCTTGTTTGCAAAAAGAAACCAGGAATATTTAATTTCAGGTCTTCAACTGAGTTTCCTAAATACACTTAAATCCTCACAATGAATTCAAATGCAATAGGAAGTTTTATTATGGCAAATAAATGCCAAATGATTTCTATATTAGGAACATAATTACAGAGGAATTAAGTCTGATGGCAAAGAGAAACCCATTGCTACAGAGCTGGTAAACTTCAATAAACACATAGTAACGATCACTCTGTCTTCACACACAAAAGAACTGCCCCTCCATCCTTTTAAACTAAACACATATATTACTATCAGCACCTTGAATGCTTCCTGTGAGTACCCTCCCGTGTGCAGGCACTGTGCCAGTCAGTAACAGAAAAGAAGGGACATGAAATAACTATCTATGAATATATATACGTGTCTATATTTTACAAAATTCTCCAGTACTGGGGGAGATCTATGCAGAGAGGAGTGAGCTTACATCTCCTGTGGTGTCAGGACAGCATAGCACCCAGTTATGTATGGTGCCCTGTGGTGGGGTGTCACCTCCCCAGGCACCCCGGCAGAGCTGGGTGCTGACCCCAATCTCCATCTTGGCAGCAAATTGCTGAGGGACTTTCCTTGGCGGGGGGATCACCTGACTGGACAGCTCCCTAAAACCTGGGGAACCTACGGAAAATCTGTGAGTGTTTATAAAAAGAAATCACCCAGACTCCTTGCAGCCCCCTTCTTACCCCCAGGTACCAGCACCACTGCCATGCCACCTCTGTGACCAGGACTGGCTCATCCCACAGCTGCCCTGCAAGACCGGGTATCCCTGTGGCATGCAGAGGCGATGCTGCCCCATGACCTGGAAGAACCACGTGCCCTGGGGGTGCACTGAGTACACCCACGCTAGCAGCAAGAGAAAATACAGCCCTGTAAAGAACTGGAGAAAAATCCAGCCCTGGACAAGTGT